CTTTATAATCAATTTGCTTTGCTTTTTAAATCTATCAAATATATTGGTTTGCATCTTATGTATCTCATTGACACTTATGTATCTCATTGACATATCAGTATTTTAATTTTTTCTAAGGTATGTCTTTTCTTTCATTCCTGTTGAGGTTTTCTTTAGGATTTTTGGTTTTTGCATCCGTCTTTAATCCATCTGGCATTTGTTTTTAGCATATGATATGAGCTAAGGACCCTATTTTATTTTCTTCCAATTGTGTAGACAGTTTTGCCATCACCAATTATTAAATAAATCATCTTTGCCCTATTGAATTGAAATACCAAAATATCACTTTCATGATAAGTTTAAAATTTATTTATACCAGGTCTGTTTTTGGATTTCCTATTCTATTCCACTTGTCTGTTTTTTTACTCATATGTTAATACCAAATTGATTTGATGCAGTAGCTTTATAGAATGTTCTAATATGTGATAATCCCAGTCCCATCCATAGTTTTTCCATATTTTTTCTTAGCAGTTTTTTTTGCTTTGTACATGCATATGAACCTTATGATTATTATATCCAAATTTAAAAATATATATCTCTTGGGATTTTTATGGTTGTCGTAATGGGACAAGGTTTTGAGTGACAGACTCCAGCAGATACCGTTAAAGAATATAGGCTCTTTAAAGGTAAAAGTGGAGACACTGAGAGAAATCATTATCAAAAGCAAGAGGTAACACTGCGTGGTCCTAGAAATGTGGCTTGCCATGTCCCCCAGAGTTTCCCAGGAGGAAGTAAGCTGTGAGTAATAGTGCCTACAGGAAGTGAGGATTCTACCCTTTCTGAGAAGCCCCCTTTGCCATTCTCAAGAGAATTGTAGACCTGCTTAGTTTCTTCCTCTTTGTACTGGGCATTCTGGCGCCCTCCCTGCTCACCAGGTGCAAGTAAATGAGGGAAAACCTCCTCAATATATTACTGAGTGACTTCTGTGAAGTGAGGTGAAGTAAAATTCAATGTCCCGGCAGCATCTAGTAGCATGTCCTGACTGAGGACCATTCCTGAAGGATTCTTATTAGATTTGCATTGTATGATATATATTAATTTTGAGAAAAAACACATTGTCTTCCTATCTAAGAACCTTAAATGTCTTTTCATTTATTCAGATCATATTTTATTGCCTTCTGCAGCATTTTATATTTTTTTTCATTTTAGTCTCATTCCTTATTTGTTTTCATTCCTAATTATCTTATGGGTTTTGTTTCTGTTGTGAACTGAATATTTCTCCCCACCTTTATTTCCAGGTACTTACTGCTAATATGGAGAAAAAAGGTCTTGATTTCTGTAAATTTATCTTATTTAGTCACATACTAAATTTTAAAACTAATTTTAGAAGTTTCTTTTTCCCTACTAGTGCCTTTGATTTCCTAGGTATACAGTCACACCCCATTAACAAATAAATATAGCTTTAATTTTTATTTTTCAATAATTACACTAGTTATTTCATTTTATTATACAATATTATCTAGAATCTCCAATATAACGTTTTATAATAATAGTGATAACAGGCATGTGCTTACATCTTTAATTTTTAATATATGTCATTAACTACCAGTTTTTCTCTCAAAATCTAAAATTACTTGGTATTATATCCTCTTGAATAAGACAAGGAACTTGATAGGCCTATCCAGTTGAATATCTCCCATTCCATCATCTTTGTTCACACATAAAGATTATTTTTAAGTCAATAGCTATTTAAATTTACCAACATATTTTTTGAGTTTCTCCTTTCCTTAGGACTCACTTTTATTTTTGCTAAAGTACGTTCTTTAGTAGTTCATTCATTAAGAGTCTTTGTTGCTAAACTCTTTTAGTCTTTTTTCTCTGAAAGTGCCCTTATTTTACCTGGATTTGAGCTAGATTGTCTCTTAGACTGTCTCAACTCTTGCAATATACTGTTCATTGGCCTCTGTCATCTGTTGTTGGGGAAGCATCTGCTGTCTATCTTATTCTTGTTGCTTTATGGGTAATCTATCTTTTTTAGGTAGCTTTTAAGATTTTATCTATGATATTTTCCAGTTTCAGTGCCGTGTTTCTAGATGTGGATTTATTTTAATTATCTAACTTAGCCCTTGAGGTATATTGTTAATTTTGATTTATCTCTTTACTTTTGGAAAATTATAGTCATTTTCTCTCTGTATATTGCTTCTCCACCATTCCTTTTCTTCTCTTCTGAAACTGTTTTTTTGGATTTATATTTTGGAAATATGGAAACATATATATGGGATTTATAATTTCTATTTTTATGTCTATTTGTGCTGCATGCTGCAGGCTGGATTCTCAAATCCATCTTCCAATCAAGCCTTTTTATTGAAGATTATAGAAGTTTATCCTGTTTGATTTCTCATTTCAGAAACTATATTTTTAATTTTTATATTTCTAATTGGATCTTCATAGCTTTTCTTATTTCATTTCTGCCTGTTTTGGTTTCATAACTTCTTGTTCCTTTTTTATGGATATTATTCCTTAATTTATATCATTGTGCATCCTAAAGAACTCTTTAAATGTCTTTTTATAGTTCAGTTAGTTTCACCTGCCCATAGTAAGTTAACCTTTGATTTGTTTTGAAATTTCGGTTTACGGATTCTACATGTCGGTCTTGAGTAGGAGGTTCTCTCTGTGTCTCTCTCACTGTTCTCGCTCACCTCTCCCTATTCAGCAATTTTGCGTTTTCTTCTGCTGGCCCACCTACCCAGGACCTCCATTCCAAATCTTAAGTTTGAGATTGGCAGTTTGTACTTATGCCCTACAGAAATTTTCGGATTATTACAGATCCATTTACTGAGCTGGATGACCTTGGCTTTATTTACTGTCAAGAGTTTATATCTCTGCTTTTGTGCCTCTTTAAATATCGTTCTTTGTAAGCAATAGCCTAAGTCGTCGTTCAGCACTTTGTTCAGCTGACTTCTTCAGCTCCCTTTCCGGGAGCACAGGTGCCACACTAGCCTCTGCTTCTAGCACCCAGGTGCTTCATCTCTACGCGGTGCTGTTATTCCCCATTAACCCGCGAGCCAGCCTCCTCACTCACTGCCTCTTCCTCTGCTGGAGCCCTGAACGCCTGTGGCTCAGCCTGCCTATCACTTTGGATTTCTGTTTCATTTTTGATCCTCAGACATATTTATCTTTTTTTTTAGATGAGGCTATATCTTTTTAACATTCTCTTATTTATACTCTTGGTATTTTGTTTTTGGAGCAGGGATTATTAGGTTATAGAGTTGGCCCAAAGCTTGAATTTCCAATGATTTCATATTTTTCCTCTTAATACTTGTTATCTGTAATAACACACTCCACTGGTCTTTAACAAATTTAAATTCCTTAGTGCTAAGATGAGAATTGTGTTGAATCTAATACTTCTTAAAATAATTATGATCTTTCCTCTACAACTTAGAGGTGCACCTGTTATACCAAAACTTTTATTGTAGCAAGAATTGATCTATAAAGCCAGCACTATTTTAAAGCAATTTTTAGGAACTAGGGAAGCTCAGAGGCCAAACACCTTTACTCCTATTCTTTCTTTCCTGCAGTTGTTAATTTAGCAAGAAAATGAAGTATAAGAAAGGATATAAGGTATAGAATACTAGAGGAAGCATCTCCGAATCTTTCTCTTTTGTTGATATGGTACTTGTCTTTTTTTTTTTTTCTAGTTTCTTTGTTCTCAAACCCTGCTGTCTCTAAATACGTGGTGAGGTCTTTCACATGAAAAGAAATGTTATATGTGTCATGGATCTTTCAATTGCAAGTGACAGAAGCTTGATACCAACTAGCTTAATCAAAACAATATTTGTTTTCATGTAATGGGGAGTGGCATTGATCTAGTCTCAAGGGATGACCGAATTCTAGGACTCAAATGCTGTTGAAAGAGTCTGTTTGTTTCCTTGACTTCTCTCTGTGTTGGACTCCTTCATTCCCATTTGAGGAGACTTTTTCCACATTGCTTCAGGAATGGCTGAGAGGCATGGGGGATAGCTGCAGGCAACGCCGGGTTTAATTCAACAAGACTTAAAAAACTCCAAAAAAAAAAAAAAGAGTACCCCCTCCTCCCCCCAGCTTTTGAGCATAAAATCCCGGGAAAAGACCTTAATTGGCCTAACTTAGGTCACATGCCTGTCTTTGCACGGATCACCCTGGCCAGGGTCTGGGGTCCTGTGCCCATGCGTTTGGAGAGATGCTGGGGTACTATGATTGTTATTCCCACTAAAAGCTGCATCATTAGAGGGAAATCCTTCTCTGACCAGAAGAGACGAAGAGATGTCACCAGACAAAAACAGATGTCTATTTCATATATATAATGTGTATTGTAACTTTTTATTTTTACAGACAGAAAGAATTTATTTTCAAGTTTTCTTACCTAAAGGGAGCAGAGAGAAGAGCAAACCAATGTTCTTTTGCCGCCGATGGAGCGTTGGAAAGGCCGTAGACTTTGCGGCTTCTTTAGCCAGTCTTAAAAATGACAATAACAGGTTAACAGCTAAGGTAACAACTGGTATAATAATTTTTCCCTAAAAGTTTTAGGACGCTCTATGTAAGTGTGTTTATTTTTTACAGTCTGGTGTATTTCTCTCTTAACAGAAATTAAGGTTATGTCACCTGACTTCAGGAGAAGCCTTACCCTTGGATCATACTTTGGAAACTTGGATTGCTAAGGAGGACTGTCCTTTATATAATGGTGGAAGTGTTATCTTGGAGTATCTTAATGATGAAGAACAGTTTTTAGAAAATGTTGATTCTTACTTGGAATAGTCATTCAAGGATTCAAGCCAGAAATCATGAGGAAAATTGTATGTTAAATCAATTTCTTTTACTAAAAATACTATATATTTTCTTTTCTTTTTAAAAGTTGCTTTTTAACTTATTTCCATTATGTCATAATTTACAGTATCAGTTTGTATTAAATTGAATTTGAGTTTTTGTGTTTTCAAGTTTAACTATAAACTGACCCTCAATTATTAGCAAATTCTAGGTTATGCTGTAGTGACAAGAGCAAAGGTATTTTTCTCATTTGATTAATGTCAGCTGTTGATTGGCCATGACTCTGCTCTGTGTCATCTTTACTCCAGGATCCAAGCGAAAGGAACAACTCCTTTTTAGGACATTGCCATTCTTATGGCAGAGGAAGAAAGAGGTGACTGACAGACATGTGGGTTGACTCTTAGAAGATACATGTATCACTTTTGCTTTAAGCAAGTCACATGACCAAGCCTAGCATCATGGGCCCGGGAAGTATAGCCTTCCTATCTACCTACATCATGATGTATAAATTGATGTGTGTACATGAAATCCTAGAAACTTAGAGGTCATCTCATTTACTCTTCTCAGTTTTTGGATGAAGAATCTCAGGCCTAGGAAGGAGAAATGATTTTCTTGGTGTCACCTAACTGCTTTGGGGTATATCTCTGATAAAGAACCCCCCTCCAGTGGGATTCACCTTTTTTTTTTTTGTATGAATGTATTATAAGTGAGAAGATAGATGGGGTAGCTCAACTTCATTAGAGGGTCTTTATATATACCAAAGCAAAAATGTGCCAAACATAACTACATTTTACCAACACATTAAAATTAATGCTCCTGACTGATGTATTCCATCTATACTCAACGAAGAACTACTATAGAGAAGGAATAGAAACTATTTCTATTTTTTCTTTTTCCCTTTTCTATTTTAATTATGGTAGACACATATTGTGGCTTAAGGTTTAATTAAAGGGATAAACGCAGAATGTTCATTTCATCTCTAATTTTTTCTTCATATTTTCATGCAAGGAATGGAGATAACATCTCACTTTCATCAAGGCTTATACATTCATTTATTAACATAGTTATTTGAGTACCCACTAAATGTAAGGATCTGGATTCTAATTGCCATGGTGGATACAACAGAGATGTATATAGTACATATTCATAACTATAATACAAATCAATGTGGCAAGTGCCAAATGAATAGATAGTAAATAAGTGTAACTATATTCCAATAGCTTTTTTTATCAGAAACTATAAGACTAGAAGTGGAAATAATCCTTAAATATATTCTCAGATACCAGAAAGTTTTAATACAAATTAATACCTTAGCATCTGTCATAATTAATTGCACATAGTAGGTGATCAACACATGTCTCATGAATTGAAATAAAGCTAAATATATCAGAAAAAAATACCTATGGGGCTTGAGAAGGCAGGGAGGTAAGGCTGGCAAAGATTCAGTTAAACCTAGGGAGAATGAAGAAGAGGTCCTGTTAATGATTAGATGGAAAAGACACAAAGTGGCATGGAAGGAAGGACTTAGGTCAATAGTGAGCTAGGTCAGATCCCAGATAGTGGAGGAAACTACGCTGGAAGAGACCCAGGTACTAGCATATTCAGGGTCTCTAGGGACTAGGGGCTCCAGCATGAGTAGTCTCCTGAAAAGAACAAGGTTGTGGGTGAGAGAGAAAGTCCCTCTACCTTCTCATTTCCAAATTACTCTGAAATCACACAACTTTCTCAGGCTTTCTTTTAGGGCTTTCAGTTGAGTATGCTTAATGAAATTTTAGGGTTTGACTGCCACCACCCTACCCTACTATCTTTCCACCTTCTGGCAGACAACTAGAATTATAAGTAGAAAACCCACAAATAGAAAAAAAATAGTTTTAAATTCAGATAAATAGTTGTAACAATACTATGGTACAAATGAGCTTCAGTTTAAATGTAATCAGTCAGTAAATACATGTGAATGATAGATTATTAAACTTTTCCCATATCTGTCAGATTTTATTCCCTGCAGTTTTCAGAGGAGGAGGATGCTTGGAGAACCTGAAGAAGGGGAAAGGTTGCAGAAAGAGGAATCTGAGGGAAACAAAATTTACATTCCTCACATCTTTTACCTGGGTTACAAAAATTCTGAACTAAGATATTGGGTCACATAACTGTAAAGATAGCTTTGGTTTCATAAAGTTTTTGTTTTATGTTTGTTTGTTTTTTTGTCTTTTTAAACCAGGAAAGTTCCCTGGGAATTTAACTGAGATATCACACAAACATTAGTTCCATTCCCTGTGTACACTGGTATAATGTATCTTGTTTTTCTTGATGTGGTACATAGAAATACAATTTATGAAATGTAGAGTCTATTGCATTTGAAAGATTAACCTACATAAATAAAATTTTTAAAAACTTGTAAAAATGTGCAATAAAAAATTGCTTTGAAAATTTTTGAGGAGCAAATATTTTATGATCTAAAATACTTAATACAATCTGTCATTGTTGCATTTAACACAGATTGTGTCATGATTACATGAAGGATCTGCTGAAATGGTTATATGTTCAGACTACCAGATCTGTAGGCTCAGTATTAGACAGTTGTAGTGGGTTTTTTTGTTTGTTTGTTTTCTTATTCTTTTTTTTTTTTTCTGCTTAGCATCAGAATGCCCCCTTATTTGGGAAATACGCAATTATGTGAGTCTGTAGGCTGAAGTCTAAAAACCCAGAGATTTCCCTCTATTCCTGGCAGCCAAGGCACAGGCATATGACCTACGTTGGGTCAACTGAATGTCCTTGCCTCTCGCTGTAAATAGGGAATAGTATTACGAGGAAGGAATAAGAGATTAGAATTGGTGCCAGTGGCCTTCCATTGCCCCATGGAGTCAGGGTCCAAGTGTCTAGCAGCAGTGGCCCCTTAACCAGGCTGTGCCTTTGGCCATGAATCCAGCCACCTGCTTTCCTTAGGTTCCCAAGCTATCTGGTAACCATCCAGGAAATTGTTTTTCCACATAAGGATACCAAAAACAGTTTCAGTTTTTGCCTAACTGTTATAGTCACTCTTTAGAGTTGTAGGAAAACTACTAGCAGCCTAAGGATATATCAAGGCCAATTTATGGGCTCTGTAGTTTTTTAAGTAATGATAAGGGGCCATGTAAGTAGTGATAAGCGGTGATGATGGTAAGACGAAGCTCCAGGAGGGCAGAGATCGCATCTGGCTTGATTACTGTGGTAATCAGCCTGGAGCTCACTGCCCCAGCAAACATGTTCAGTAGTTATTTATTTGATTTTGACTTGAATGAATAAAATAATAACACCCAACCCTAGGCCTCCTCAATATCTATTTTAGATTTTTGGATCCTGACTGCTTTTAGTGTAGATTTTCCTTAGGAAGGAAGAGAACTCAAAGTGGTGACGCTAATGTTTTAAATGCAGGTAAATAGAAGGCTGTTTTTTCATTACAGAAATGAGGAAGTCAACAGGAAAGAGATCAGATTTCTACTTTGATAAATTGAACCTATTAAATGTTTTGGCTTTTACCATTTTCATAACTACAGGTTAAACAGGTTGTGTCACTCACTACATAGCTTTGTATTTGTTTGAAAAGTACAACAGTCCCTCCTACTGGACTTTGATCCAGCAAAAACCACTGTTACCTAACAACCTCAGACTGTCACTGGAACGCCAGTACGAAGAATCTTCTCTAGTTATTTTTAAACATTTTTGCATATATAATTTATTTAAGCTTCCAAAATGATTAGAAAACTTCTTATTGTCCTGCTTTTGTCGTTTGTGACTCTGGGAGAAGCAAGGAAATCATTTCTCAGTTTTCTGAATATAGAAAAGACTGAAATACTATTTTTCACAAAGACTGAAGAAACCATCATTGTAAGATCAAGTTACAAGGATAAATGGCCAAACTCTAGTTACCTCTTCGTGCAATTAGAAGATCCTAAAATGCTGCGAGTGGTGAATGTGACCAAGATCTTATCGGATGTTACAAACTTTACCATAAACCTAGTGACAGAAGAAGATGGGGAGACAAATTTGACCGTTCAACTATGGGATTCTGAAGGTAGGCAAGAAAGACTCATTGAAGAAATAAAGGATGTCAAAGTCAAAGTGCTCAGACAAAGAAAAGACAATGTTTTCCAGGCATCAATGCTTATTGATAGAAATATCCTAATGCTTTTTCTACCAGTGATATTGTTAAATAAATGTGCGTTTGGTTGCAAGATTGAATTGCAGGTGTTTCAAACAGTATGGAAGAGACCTTTGCCAATAATTCTTGGGGCAGTTACACAGTTTTTTCTTATGCCCTTTTGTGGATTTCTTTTGACTCAGATTTTGGCATTGCCTGAGGCACAGGCCTTTGGATTTGTAATGACCTGCACATGCCCAGGAGGGGGTGGGGGCTATCTCTTTGCCCTGCTTCTAGAAGGAGATATCACTTTGGCCATTTTGATGACTTGCACGTCAACGTTATTGGCCCTGATAATGATGCCTGCCAATTCTTATATATACAGTAGAATATTAGGGTTATCAGGTACATTTCATATCCCTGTTTCTAAGATTATGTCAACGCTCCTTTTCATACTTATACCTGTATCAGTAGGAATAGTCATCAAGCATAGAATACCTGAAAAAGCAAACTTCCTGGAGAGAGTAATTAGACCTTTGAGTTTTATTTTAATGTCTGTAGGGATTTATTTGAGTTTCAGAATAGGATTAATGTTTCTAAAAACAGTTAGCCTAGAGGTGCTTCTCTTGGGTGTCTTGGTTCCTACTTTGGGTTTGTTGTTTGGGTACTCCTTTGCTAAAATTTCTATGCTGCCTCTTCCTGTTTGTAAAACTGTTGCTATTGAAAGTGGGATACTAAATAGTTTCTTAGCCCTTGCCATCATTCAGCTCTCGTTTTCACAGTCCAAGGCAGACTTAGCTTCTGTGGCTCCTTTTACAGTGGCCATGTGTTCTGGATGTGAAATGTTACTGATTCTTCTGGTCTACAAGGCTAAGAAAAGATGGATCCTTATAGAAGAGACAAGAAAAAAAATTCCCCTGGTCTAACAATTAAAGCATTATTGAATTCCTACTCTGAATGAGGTACGCTGGGAGACTCAAAAGAATATCTAAAATGATACCTGCCCTCAACCCACTTATGATATGATTGAAAACTTGACATTAGGGGTGAAATATATATGTAATCATGTGTGCTAAACACCCAAAGGATAGTGCAGTCAATTAATTGTATGGGAATTCAGAAGAAGGAAACCACTGTTCAACTGTTGGTTTGGAAATGGTTTTACAGTTGGATTTGAATATGATACTTTATGATGGTCTCTTAAGTGGTAAAGGGCAATTAAAAAAACTCCCCCTGTAGTGATTATGATAATATCCCAAGTATTTACAGAACAAGTGTCCACATAATAAGCATTCAATAAATGCTCCTGCAGCGAGTGAATATGTAAATTCCTATTTGGACTCTCTTTGGTTCATGATGTCTAAAACTAAATGTAGCATCTCTGCACTTACGGCCGTGCTTCCTCTCGTCTTCCGCATCTCCCACTAAAGACATTACCGTTTACTCTGAAACACAAGGTCATCTCTTCCCCTCTTCTCCTTTTTTCCCTCTTCTTTCTTTATGGTCAACCTATTGCCTACAGAAAATTCCCCGTAATATCTTTTCCTCAGTCTCCTCTGCATTCCCAGTACTGCTACTTTCGTTCAGTCCTCTATTGCTTCTTCCCTAAACCTTTCTAAACTGGCTTTTGGCCTCTGTCCGCTCTCCAATCACTGTCAGATTAATCTTACTAAAGTCTAACTTGGATCATGTACTTTCCCTGCCACAAAGCCTTTTTTTTGCTTTTTGAATAAAGTCTGTATTCCTTAGTGAGGCATTTATTACGCTCTGCTATATGACCTCAATCTGGCTTTCCAGTTTCATCCTCTCTCCCACTTCTGTACACACAGCCCTTGCTCCAAGCAGGATGACTTGGTATCTCATGAATATATCTTTGTTCACACTGTTCCTGCAACCTGAGGGGCCCGTTTCATCTCTATCTAGATTTTAACCACTCTTACAGACCTGGCTCAAATATCACCCTTGCTGTGAAGCTTTTGTTAATCCCTCTTAGCTACCAGTAAGTTACATTTTCTCTGAATTCTCATAATTTTTTATACTCATAGTATTTAGCCAGTGTGGCTTGTTTTACAGCTGTGTTCCTGTTTTATCCTTTCTATTTTGCTGTAAATCCTTAAGCATGAGAATTATAAACATTATATATAAACAATATAATATGGTAATATGAACAATATTCATTTTGATAGTCCCCATAATATCTTTACACATTTCCTACATGCTTGTTCAAATAAAATATTGAAGCACAGACTAGGGCCCAAATGAACAGTGTGCTTGTTTTTATACCACTTTTGAAATTTCAATGGCAATTTTTAGTATTTAGTTCCAGTTTGCACTCTTCTCCAAAGAGAGTGTGGGCATCAAGAAGGAGAAGTATAAATCTAAATAATCCTGTTTCCCACATTTCCTAGCCCTGTAGTTGTAGGCTAATTACTTAATCTCTCTGTAGTCCGCTTTCTTCATCTAAAAAATGGGGATAAGGGTGTAAACGCCGTCAGACTGTCGTCGGAAGTAAATGAGATCTTACTTACAATGTACTTGGAACAGTGCCTGGCACACAGCACGTGCTCAGTGAGTGTTAGCTGCTATCAGTATTTCATCAGAGTTTAGATTTCGGACCCTGATGTATCTGCTGTTGATTCGAAATACCAGTCTGATGACTACATGTGGAACCTTTTCCTATTAGTATTATTTACCATCTTATCCATAGTATGAGGGAATTTTTGTTTACTTTGCTAGCTGATAAGACAACCAAAGTTCTTTTTCCTAATTTCACCAAATTCAGTATATGAATATGAAGATTTATAACAGACCTAGTTTGGCATGGTCGTGGATGGTTATTATCCACTTTATAAAATGATAATTACCTGCGTGGAATATTTCACTCCTGAGTCCTTAAACAGAAATCTCCACTTAGGGGCTTTAAGTATAATTAAGTTTGCCCAAATTTAACTTACATACATTTTCATGAACATATTTTACTAATTGGGAGACAAAAAGCTGCCTTTCTAGTTGCACTTTATCATTAACCTTGTGACCTCAAACAAGACACTTCTCTGTACTTCAGTTTACAAATCTTTAAAATGAAAAGATTCAACTGAGGCTTAAGATCTTGCTTACCTCCTTAAGTCTGTGGTTCTGGCATAAAACTGGGACCTAACCCCATGGGCAGGGTGATGGGGTAAAGTGAAGAAGGTTCAGGTTGAGGAGAATAACCATGCACAGCTGCTGCCTTCTAGTTAAGGCAATAACCCAAATTCAAGCTTCTTGAGTGCAGGGATCATATATTATTATTTTATTTATTTATTTATTTTTGGTGAGGAAGATTGGCCTTGAGCTAACATCTGTTGCCAATTTTCCTCTTTTTGCTTGAGTAAGATCATCCCTGAGCTAACATCTGTGCCAGTCTTCTTCTATTTTGTATGTGGGACACCGCCACAGCATGGCTTTGTGAGTGGTGTGTAGGTCCACACCCTGGATCCGAACCTGTGAATCCCGGGCTGCCAAAGTGGAGCGTGTGAATTTAACCACTAAGCCACTGGGCCGGCCCCATATTTTGTTCTTTGAATTTCCTTCAGTGTTTCTTTGAATTTCCTTCAGTGTTTAGCACAATGCCTTGAACAGAGTAGGTGCTCATTAAATGTTATTTGAATTAATCAGTAATATCTATAAACGTCAAGATGGTATACTCTGGAACCAGACTATGCCTGGGTCTGCATTCCAGTTCTGTCATTTACCAGCTGGATGACATTGGTCAAGTTACTTAATCTCTTTATGCCTAAATTCGTGTGGAAAGTGGGGATAATGATAGTACTTACTTCATGGTATTGTTGTGAGGATTAAATAAGTTAATATGAGTAAGGTCCTCAAAACAATGCCTAACACATAGTAAACTCATTACTGTCACTCTATGCATATTTGAATGACCTTCCACCTTAAAAGCAGTTGAATATGCATGGATGGAACTTGGAATATATTTTATTTCTCTTATAGATGTATCGTAGAAAACTGAGATTTTTACATAATAAAATTTGTCTAATTTGGATTGGGATGAAGTTACTAAAGTTATTCTTTTTTAAATAATGAGATGCATGAAGCATGCTGTCTAATTGGTTAAGTTCATACTAAGTCTTTTACACAGCCATGATGGGTTAGAAAAAAGATCCAGAGGTAGAGGGGTTAGGCTAGTTTGTTAAAAAGTTTGTTTACAGCCCTTAAGAGGGATGATTCTATAATACATTGCTCCTAGAATAAAAATTGTATGATATATATTTTTATATCTGGGAAAGCTGTTGGCATTACAGGGGCATGTCAGGATCTTAACCAATATCTGCAACTCCAACCTATGTTAAGTCAAAACATGAAATCTTGTTGGGGATCCTGGAGACTCTACCTTGAGAACCTGCAAGTCGTGTATGTAGATTTTATCATTTTTAATCAAAATCCACTAAACAACTAACTGTTAACTAAGGAAGTCTTGTTATGTGGAAGCTGGTTTTTTGTTTTTTTAGTGAAAGGAGGTGCCCTTTAAGAGAAGTCAGCTCCAGAGACTAAGTAGAGGTGGCAAGATACCCAAGACTGCTGGGGAAGGAATCACCTTGGTGGTCCCTCTTCATCATGCAAATACAGGACAGTTGGGCACCTTGCCCATACAGAAGGATGACCAGACCACTTTGTGGCTTGACAAAGGCCATCCTTCCCCAGAACCTTCTCCATGTATCATCAGGTGTCTGGGAAGTGTCAGGGGCATTGGATCTCACCTCTCTGCCATTTTGAGGTTTAGCCTAACTAGAACCTCTCTCATGAATGGAAGTCAGCTTGCAGGAAAGGATGTCAAAGGCCCCCAAGAGAGAACTCGCCATTAGGGAAGTCTAGAACCCTGACCTGGACACCATGCCAGGGAGGAGGTTTTGTCCTGGCACAGTGTATGGCTGAGGCTGGAACCTGTCCTCTCTCTACCTCCCAACCACCTTGGCATGGCAGATGATTTTTAGGATTGGGAACAGTGAGTGCAGATGTGACTGGAGCTTTAAAAATTGCCCGTTTGGGAACCTAAGAGCAATGCATCAGGTCCTGAGGACTCTGCAGCCATCTGAACCACTCACAGCACCAGATAAAAATCTTCTGGATTGTGTAGGACCAGTTTGCAACACTGCCAGAACCGGATCGGAGCACTGGAGGATTCTCCATTTCACTCTCAGTCAGGCCTTTGGAAGTGAACGGCCTCTTTGGACTCAAAAAGCTCCGATTATTTGAGAACAATTGTGAGGTAGCAGCTGAGGCCCTTATAAAAAAGATTGGACTTCCTGTACATCTGAGGTGGGAAGTTTGAAATGGTTTTATTTGAAAGAATAAATACTTGATCTATCTTGTCTCATATTGCTTACACTGATTTTAGCAGCTTTATCAAATCAGCGGGACCACGTTCATTTAAAGGAGGTTTAAAGAGGACTCTAACGACATTTCTGCAAATGCCTAGGAAATTTTTACGAATCAACACTTTTCATCATGTAGTTGGCAAGATTTTTATTTTAAGATGACTGATAATGAAGAACCAAAAAGCTAATTTCTGAAGTTTGTGTTGTTTTTTTTTAAATCAAGAAAACAAAAGCATCATTTGCTAGACAAATCAAGGTATCCAAATCAGATACTTAAGGCATCATTCTTTAGAAGAATGAAAACAAAGTTCTTGCTGTTTGTAAGGTTTGAGAAGTGGTCCCACCGTTCAAGTCATTCATCTTGGAGAACTGTTTGATTTGTAACACGTTGGTTACAAGACCTTCGCTTTTGATCAAATTATGGGAAGCAATCACTTCACAAGCAAGGAGCTTTTAACCCGCTTTCCTGGTCCTGTTGTGGCCAGGACATCTTATATTTGTGCAGTGCTTTTTGTGTTATAAAAGTAAGACTTTATACACCATAATGCCAGACCTGTTATTTCAAGAAAAGGAAACATTTTAAGGAATAGAACAGTCCTTGTCTCTCATATAATGCAACCTCATCGTGCCATGTACTCTGTTGAGTGTGGACTTTGGAGTCAGCGTATTTCACTCTTTGCTCTTGTCATGCATTCCGATCCGAGGACAAATCACTTCTCTGAGCCTCAGGCTCCTCATCTGATGAAACTAATCACACCTTCCTCATGGAACTGTTGCAACGTTTAAGAAAATAGCGTATAAAAACACAATTGCCTGGAGCATGGTAAGTCCTCAAAAAATGATAACCAAATGAAGCATTGAGAATAGGAGCAGTTGGTTCTGGCCGTCAATTTATCTATCTGTCTATATAGCTATCATCAATTTATCTAATGTCTAATAATCTTTTTTTTAATTATAATTATTTATTTATTTATTTTTTCCCCCCAA